AGTAATATCCTTAAGTATTAGTACAGTATTAAAAAAATTAGTATCAATGTGCTAGTTTTTGAAGTATGTTACGAAAAATAAAAGAAATAGTTAATTTTTTTTCACTTAAATTAGCATTGTAAATGTTTTAAGATATTTTGTAAGGAAAACTTTTCATGATTTTTATTTTTATTTGATAGATGCTATTTTTACCTTTTAAATAACATTTTTTTACATCTGTAGGACCTTCCTGTCCAGAGAAATCTGCATCTTGTGGCAGAGGTATCTACAAGAATAAAAAAAATTAAATGGCGGCCATTCCGACAGGAGGGGGCGTAGACCCCAATATATGGGTGTTTTCGTCGATGAAATTAGGTATATTTTGTAACCTTAAATTATCGCTAGGTCGTGACCAGACACACTGTATATACCTTTGGCGTGCATATTATTAATTTTTTATTTTAATTTTAAGGTTAAATATTATGTAAAGTTCATGCAAACAGTAGGTCCTTGCATATGAAATTGTCATTTTGTACGGGAGGAATATAAAGTCAATTGTTTTTTGTAAAATATATTTAACTAATCAAAGTATTGTCGAGTTGATAAGGGGAATATTAGTAATGTTTATAGCATTGTTAATATTCTTTAAAAAAATTAATCAAAGTATGCACCGTTGTTATTAGTAGTTCATTGATCCCTTTACAAAAAAAAAAAAAAAAACATGGGGGCGAGAAGCAATAAACTCTTTGAAGGCGGTTTGGACTGCTACATCGGAGTTGAATTTTTTCCTTGTAAGAAGTTGTCTGAATTCCGGAAAAAATGGTAATCTGTTGGAGCAAGGTGCGGGAAGTACGGTGAATGTTGCAGACATTCCAATTGTAGCTCATCTAACTTAGTGTTTGTTTGTTGTGCAGTGTGTGGTCTTGCGTTGTCGTGAAGCAGCAGTGGCCTAGAGCGATTGACCAATCTCGGTTGTTTAGCAGCTAGTTCTTCCTTCAAGGTTTGCAGTTGCTGACAATAGATATCTGCCGTAATCGTTTGGCCAGATTTTAGAAAGCTGTAGTGAACGACACCGGCGCTAGTCCAACCAAACACTCACAAGTAACTTTTTCTGAGTCAGTTTTCATTTAGGGCAAGATTTAGCTGGGTCTCCAGGGTTCTGCCATTGCAACATGCGCTTGCGATTATCGTACAGTATCCACTTTTCATCACAAGTAATGATACGATTTAAAATCCCTTCATTTATGTAAAAAGCAAAGTCACACAGCAGTCGACGCGTGTTTGCAAGTTCATTATTTTTCATTAAAGTAAGTTTCATTTATTTCAAGTGGATTAATACAGTTTTATCACTTACTCCGAAGAATGCAGCTATTTCTGAAGTGCTTTGTAATGGATCCGCTTCCACAATAGCCTTTAATTCTTCATTTTCCACTTTGGTCTCCGGCCGTTCACGGGGTTGGTTCTGAAGGTCGAAATTTCCAGAACGAAAACGTTGAAACCAAAGACGTACCATGCTTTCTTTTGCGACACCAGCGCCGTATACATCATTAATCCTTAGAGCTGTTTCTGCAGCACTGGTACCACGGTAGAACTCGTACTTGTAAATATACCGATATTTCATGTTTACCATTGCGCGGTAATAAGCAACGCCCAAGAAAAAAATAATGAGGAAAAAAACAAATGAATGACTGTTTTTAAAACTCAAATGTACCAGCTAAATGAATTTATAAATTTTAATTTAAAATTATTAACCAAAGAGGAGATATTTCAGATCATAGTGATTATTACGACAAAACGCTAATTTAATATGTAAGGACCCAATAGTAATGTAAGTGCTATGGAAGAGTGGAGTCTTCTAACACAAGTTTTTATAATTTAAAGGAGACCTCATTCCCGGTTATAATGTATGTATGACCATTTACTGAGTAAACTATTTTTGTTTATTAATATTATTATTAAACCAATAATAGAAAAATTTACTAAATTTTGTAATACTTTATTATAAAATCTAAACAAAAAATAAAAACCTGTTCGGCAGACATACCCGAATGGGTCTATTAACTTATTGATAGCTAAAGTTGTGGCGTACATCACTACATTGCAATACTTTCAGCTGCAGTGATACCAGTTTAATTTTACAAAAATTGCATACATTTGCTACGAAGTGGCAAGTTTCGATTCGACTTATTCGGCCTTTATTTTATATAATATTTTGATAAAGACTAGTTATCGATTATATTAAATTATAATATATTCAGAATCGTGTTGCGATTGAGCTGAATATTTAAATCATTTGACAAAATCCACTACACATCTTAATGTAATGATTATTACTCATCACAAACTGATTTAGTTGATATGAAATAAATTTTAATTTTTTTATATATTTATTTTGTGTAGTAAATTATATTTATTTTCAAATCGCTTATTTTCACTTCATGAACTATGCTAGCAACATTTGATATTTTACGAAACTATTCAGAAAATATAAAAGAAAGTTAGCCGATACTGCTGTACCAACCTTGAATTTGTAATTGAAATTCGAATGTGGTAATATCTTCGTCTTGCACGCAGACTCACACTCGACGACTTCCAACTTCCCAAACAAACCGGTTTCCTAATAGGTTTTAGCACCATAGACCACATACAAACCCTTCGGAAAATTGTACGGAAGTCCGAAGAGTACAATTTGCCACTGAGCCTGGTGTATGTGGACTATGAGAAAGCTTTTGATTCCGTCGAAATTTGGGCGGTGCTGTAGTCCCTTCAGCGGTGCCAAGTGAACTATCGGTATATCGAAGTGCTGAATTCTGCCGAGGATCCAACAGGGAATGCACATGATCTTCCACATCTGAGATCCGCGTAGGCGAAGTAACCAGTTGTGTCAGATCATATGCCAAGGCAAAAATACAAACAGATCTACCCGCATGATTGTTTAAACAGGAACTAAGCCATTCAGCGTGGTAGGCGTTAAAATCACCAAGCATTACGATATCTGTGGTTGGGTCCTGTTGTAGCACAGAGTCTGCAGCCATCTGGACGTGGTCGATGAGTCGGTCTATATCGGCATTGCTGCTATGGGACCGCTGTTTATGCGCAGCCATAGGATGGACAGGTCCGTACTTTCAAGGCTGCCGAGGCGTCTAAAACATATGTCCTCTCTGACGTACACGCAATCCAGCCCAGGGTACAAAGGAGGGTTCTAATTTGTATCCCGGGTGGGAGAGGAGATACGAAATATCAGCCGAATACGTGGGGCAGCCTGAGCACCATCGCTCAGGAAGAGTACGAATTATTGTCCATCACCAGGGGGGCTGATACAATCCTGGGGTAGCGTTGTCTTTAATTCCGCTACCATGTTAGTAAAATTATCTGTTTTGTATACACAATTAAGATCATATTTCTATAACAACATTTACGGCCGTGGCGCCACCGAAAGACTGTATCCTATTGGTCAATTTTGGCAGCCATTTTTTATAGACAGCGTTGTATCGCCAGTTGCAACCAACTTGTCCTTGGAAGTGAACACTCGGTTGATTTTCTGGAATATGGTCATATTACAAAATAATACAAATTTTGAGTGCGCATTTATCTAGAAAAAAAATCTACAAGAACCTTTAGACACTTCTCATAAACAAAGTATCATTTGGGATTACTACGTTGTTCTATAAAAAGTAAGTATAACTTAAATGTATTAAAATTAGATATTACTGAATATAATAAAAAATAGGGTCGATAGTAATGTGTACAATTAAAATTAAAACGTTTTTCTAGATAAATTATTTCGTGATTTTAATAGTATTTTTCGTAATAAGACTTATTATCTGTATTTTTGTACTTGATACAGTATTTCAGATAAAAAGCAACTCGAAAACGCATTTAATTTTTCTAAAATGTCAGATACGAGTACCTACCTAACTAATCGTAATGAGCTTACAGAACCTAATATTTTAGTAAGTACATAGTATTCTTTTTACCTATCGACTCTACTATTCTAGGTAGCTATAATCTAGGTACCTAGATTCTACTACTACGGTACTTAGGTACTTTATAAAGAGTAGGTATTCTATGTAGGTACGTAGATAGGTAGGATACCTATACGTAGAATCTAGGTCCGATAGGAATCAGAATCAGATAATTGTGTGAAAGTGCAGGTATATACCTACCTAACTTTTAATTGTTTTTTATTTTATTTTAGTGGCAAACCGATGGACACTAAAGCTGTTCCGGAACATCAATGTACCGTTGAGTATCAAGGGAATAAAAGAAGTGGTATGTACTTTTACATGAAGTGTAGGTAGTTGGATTTTTGATTATATAATAATAATAATATTTATTACCAATTACTATCGAGAAGAATATTATTTTAAACTTTTTGATTCATGTTTCATTGGATACTTTTTCATGTTTTGTTTATTTTACAAGACAATCAAGCAGAGGACAGAATAGGTCAAACGAAACGCGCGATACTATCTCCTTTACCGTCTGAAAACAACAAGCTTCTAGATGCAGAAGATCCGCTAAATCAGGAAGTACATGACTATTGTTCAGATGACAGCGTTAAGGACCCAAATTACGTAAATTATTATTATTCCGATTCTGATCATAGTGACTTAAATAGTAAGAAACGCGCAAAGCGATTTATAAGAAATAAGTTTGCTGAAAACATCGATGCCATGATTTCAGTTGCGACTAAAAATTCAAGTTCAAGTCAAATTAGAACGCCCAATTCTCACCAAAAAATTGATTATTCAAACAAGCCCTAACCAGGTCCTTTAAAAATATCGTATATACCACCGAGTAGTTCATCTAGTTCAAGCTCTTCTTCGGACTCTTCTGACAGTTCATCATCGTCTAGCGATTCTTCAGACACGGAAGAGGATGCAAAAAGAGTTGAGGAACAAGTTACAGAATCAGATACAGAAAAAATACAGAAATGGATAGAGAACCAGATAGAGAACAAGATTTAGAACAAGTTACAGAACAAGAAATAGAAAAAAAATACAGAACAGGATATAGAAATGGATAGAGAACCAGTTACAGAACAAGAAACAGAAAAGGATATAGAAATGGATAGAGAACTAGATAGAGAACAAGATGTAGAACAAGTTACAGAACAAGAAACAGAAAAAGGTACAGAACAAGATACAGAAAAAAAATACAGAACCAAATACAGAGCCTTCGAAAAAAATTGGACGTAAACGCAAGGCAAACCCTAAGAATTGGATATCTGTAAGAGCAAAAATTTTAATAAATCTGGCAAATCGTACGTGAATAAAAAAAAAGTAATTCCCGAGAGACAATTGAAAACTCCATGCGGAGATAAATGCAAATTTAAGTGTTAGAAAAACATTACAGAATTACAGATAAAAATGATATTTCAAACTACTGGGATATGGGAGACTTGGAACGGCAGCGAGAATATATTATGCGACATATTTCCGTTATCAAACCGAGCTTTTTATCTTTCAATAGGGGATAATAAATTCGAGTTTGTAAAAGTTATTTCACAGCCACTCTTGATATTAACGACAGGGTTATTAAGACTGTTAACGATAAAACGTCAGACATGGCTATTTTAGAGCAATCTCTCACGCTCATCTTGATCCTTTGGTAAAATTGGTCATTACTGCAGAGCAGACACCAAGCGAACACACATTGAAGGCGGCAAGACTGTAGCTGATTTACATAGAGACTATGTTGCTGAATGTAAAAGTAAAGGTTTACCCTTTGGTAATTATTTAGCATATTACAATATATTTTGTACCGAATACAATATGGCATTCTTCAAACCTAAAAAAGACCAATGCGAAACCTGTACAAATTATACTAATGCGACTGAAGAAGACAAACAAATTATGAAACATGATTATAAACTTCACCTAAAGGAAAAACAACTAGCAAGGGATCAAAAAGATGAAGACAAAAACTATACTCCGGACAATTGTATAGTATCTGCTGCAATGCCTTGTCCTAAAGGTGATACGTCGACATTTTATTACCTATACAAGTTGAACTGCTACAATTGTACTATTTATGATATTAAAACCAAATATGTGAACTGTTACGTACTGCACGAAGGCGAAGCTAAACATGGAGCTATTGAAATCGGTACCTGTGTACTAAAATACATTGAAAGCCTGGAAGAGACCGCCAAAAAACTTGATTCAAAATTGGATTTGATATCTTACTCAGATAATTGCTGCGGACAGCAGAAAAATCATTATTTGATCGCAGTATACATTTTTGCTGTGCATAATTATGATTTTATAAATTCAATTTTGTAATAAATTCCTCATAAAGGATCATACACAAAATGAGGGAGATAGTGTTCACTCTGTTATTGAGCGTCAAATCCAAAGAAGCCTCAAATCTGGTGCGATCTATACACCTGATCAATACACACAGACAATACGAAGTGCGAAGAAGACTGGTGGTATAAAGTATATGAACTGACCCATGCCGATTTTTATGATGTCTAAAGTTTAGCAACTGCTATAGGCAAGAATTTTTCTAAAAATGCAAACAAGCAATCAGTAAAACTTACTGATATAAAAATTTTAAAAGTTGATCCAGACGACACTCAAAATTATGCCTTTTACTACAAAACATGTTGATAAGACAGGGAGAACAAGAAACACACTAAATAATTATATAGTTTTGACATAAGCATACAAAAATAAGATGGAAGTGTGTGAAAAGAAGAAACAACGATTATTAAGTTTACTACAAAAGAATACAATTCCAAAATGTTACTCATTATTCTATAAGAATCTTTAGGGCTTTTTTACAGGGGGTTAGTCATAATAATAAAATGACACGTTGAAAGTATTTTTTTTTGCGTATTAGTAACTGATTATTATGATCTCAAAGTGTTATAGTTAGATATTTAGATAGCTTTTTTAAAAGACTGTTCAAAATAGAGACTGATGTAAACTCTGTTTTGTGTTTAGAATTTATAAAATTCTATTCTAATTTTTATGTTGATAAAAGCTACATTGTTCAATTTTGAGGTTTTTTTGAATTATTATGTTTTGTTGCCAGAATTTATAAGATTCTATGCTAGAACAATTACTTAACAATATTAGCTGTTTTTAAAGATGTTAAACTTTCTCATTTTATAATTTTAATATATTTATTACTTGTTGTAGCAAGCATTTTTGTAAAAGAACGACCAAATTGGTACTGTAATACTATTGAATTAAAATAAATAATGCTAAGATGTCACAACTCAAAATGTATCAGTATCACTGAGAAAAACATAATGAATATTTTGTATTATTTCTTAAAACACCACTGTTATTAAAAATAACCTTATTTTTTTCGAGTGGTTTTTGTAATGAGACAGTAATCTTCATAAGTTTGTCTGTGTTATTTTGTTATAAGTCTGAGACCTAGTAGTCGTTTTCAATATTTAGTACTAAATAAGTATCATTTTCTTAAAAAATAATAAACATAAACTGTAATATATTTCACGTGTTTTATATAAGTTTCATCAATATTTGCGCAGTAAATAAAAAATACAGCATTTGAAGATTTGAAAAAACTTTAAAGTGTTCTACTGAAAAATTCACTCAATTTGAGTTACGACAGTATCCTTCCAAAGCAGCGATATGTGTAACAGCAAAAGCTGCCGCGTGGCTCTACCACGGACCAATTTTGGATAACTGACAACTGATAAGTCTAATTAAAGAATCACAAAAATATAACAACAGTTTTCAAAATATTTTTCTAATAACTACAAACTAGATGTAATTGCAAATGGTTAGAAATAAGACCTAACTTAAAAGTTGATGATATTGCTATTTTTAAAGAGAAAACTCTCCCGGTTTCTTGCTGGCTCATTAGTAAATTTATGTCGGTTCATAAACATAAAAATCTTAGATTACTTCGCGCGCTTAAACTAGATACCTCCGGCCCTCTTGTAAAATGCGGCAACTAATACTACGCCGATATCGGCTTACTCGAGCGCTCGAGGCTCGAGCCAGTCCCGTTGCAGGCAATGTGTGATGCGGACACACCGAGTGTTTTATTAAATTTTAATCATAATCCGAAGTAAAATGCCAGTTTGCGTAGTGAAACTGTGTAAAAACAATAATACAAGAAATAAGAAAGACAATGCGAACATAGAGCATCAATAAGTGTCATCCAATTTCTAAATGTTTAACTTAAAATTACACGAACCATAAATAAGTAACAAAATATGAATGACGCAATTCAGTGTTGCCGCGTATACAAAAATAAAGTTCTCCGTGGTTGCTATTTTTATGTGTTATGTGTGAATTTATTGTTACTATATTTTATAATATAATATATTTAAGTTATTATATAACGTGGTTTGTTTAATGTTTATTTTTGTAATATTGTTCAAATGACCTAATATTTATGGTTGTTTTATTAATTGTATTATATATTTTTTATTACTAAAATTTTAAAAATTAAACAAATAAAACAAATAGTGTAAACGGGACCCCAACCCCGGTATTATAAATATTGCTTGCCAGGCAGATGTTGTTTTGCCCATTTAGACGACTCTTTGTCATGTCCTATTAAAAATACTTAAATTCACAAAACAAAAATTTGGGTCACTCATGGGCAAAAAAAACTATCCTATCTCAGTTGGAAAAAATCTATTAAGTAGTTTAGGAGTCCATCGCGGACAAACAACGTGACACGTAATTTATATATATTAAGATTTTTAATAATAATTTTTATTTTATTTTTAAGCAGTTTATTTTATGTCGTAAGTTGCGCTTTTCGGTTAAAATATAAAATTACATTGCCCTTTTACGTTCGATTAGATAGGTAGAAATCGCTTAAAGCGATATGACCACCGTTTGTAGTTCATAAGTTTTCCGTTATTGTAATAGCTTTGTTTAAATGCTATAAAGAGTTATTTGTTTATCATTATTATGTTTGCTTGGTACAGATTTCCTGCTGATCCTACATATTATATCCATTGTAAAAGTTGTTCATGTTGATTGGTAAAATAGAAATACGAAGCACTATTTTGGTTACACCATATATATAACTATATTATTACTATTAAAAATAATTTGTAAATATTAGAAAAATACATGTAAATAAAAAATAAAATGTTAAAAATGAGGCCTGATTTAATTTATATACCATTTTTATGAAGAAAAACCTATACAATGATGTGCAAGCGGTATTTAGAAAGGGAATGGGATGTACAGATCAAGTCTTTTCCATGCGCATGATCGCGGAGAAGTTTTTGGCCAAAAACCAAAAGGTTTTTTGTGCGTTCATGGACTTGGAAAGGGCCTATGACAGAGTGGATAGGGATGTGCTATGGCAAACACTGAACTCATTTGGGTTGAGCGCTGGCTTGATACAGGCATTGGAGTCTCTTTATAGGGACTCTAGTGCTTGTATTAGGATCAACGGGGTCTATTCGGATTGGTTTGACATCCATAAAGGTGTCAGATGGGGCTGTGTGGCTTCCCCGTGGCTGTTCAACCTATTTATGGACAGTTGTTTGCAAAATTTGAAAGTTGAAGAATGCGGATTAAGAATGGGTGAGTTAACCGTCAAATGCCTTTTGTACGCCGATGATCAAATTATTCTTGCGTCGTCGGCGGCCGAGTTGCAAATGATGGTTACATTAATGAACAGATCATTAAAAGAAAGGGGTATGAAAGTAAACGCAAGTAAGATGAAGGTTATGGTTTTTGAAAGAGAAGAAAGTAAAACGATTTGTGAAATAAGAATAGAAGGAGAGTTGATCGAGTAAGTAGATGAGTTTGTATATTTGGGTTGCGTATTTAGCAGGGATGGGAGATATGATAAAGATATAGAACGACGAGTGAATGCGGGAAATAGAGTAAATTTGGCCCTGCACTCTATTGTGAAGAGTCAAAATGTGTAGAAAAAGGCACGTATGGCAATTCACAATGCTGTGTTGGTCCCTACTTTAACGTATGGTAGTGAAAGTTGGGTGTGGCAGAAGAAGCACGAGAGTAGAATGAACGCAGTAGAAATGCGGTCGTTAAGGAGTATGTTAGGGCTGAATGTGAATGACAGGGTAAGAAATTGTGTAATAAGAGAAGAGTGTGGTTTGCAAGATGATGTTGTGACCAGGATTAAGAAAGGAATGCTTCGGTGGTTTGGTCATGTGAAAAGAATGAATGAGGAAAGAGTGACAAAGAAAATTTATGTTACAGAAGTGAATGGCAGAGTCGGAAAGGGATGTCCTAGGCGAAAATTTATCGACCAAATTGGCGATTTATTGAACGGGCCAAATTAGGAGTACCCTTAACCGACGAGCATGTATGCGTAGGTGTATGGATGTGAAGGAGGCGAGAGAGGTGTGTCAGGATCGTGCCAAATGGAAGTCTGTAGTCTCTGTCAACCCCTCTGGGTGACAGGCGTGAGTGCTTATGTATGTATGTAATAACCTATACATTATGTACAAAAATATATTGATACATTCGCAATGAATAAATCGTTCAGTTTTAGGAATCTTCTATACTACATTCATAACTAGTAACTTAACTAGTAGACAATAGCATAAAATAATTTTTCCCGTTAATCTGGTACCAGTTAAGCTCCTGGCAACACAATTTTTCACGCACACTAGCATCCTTGCAAATTGTTTTATGGCTCCTCTTCCTCTTCACGATCGGCCATGATGGGCGATTACACGCGAGCATGATCGTGTAGAGGGGCTAATCGGCTGTAGTCACAAACTAACTAGACCTGTAGTTGCCCATCATCGTCCTCAATCGTCGTTGATCGTCGTCGTGATTGTGGCGATCGGTGTCTTGTCGGTTTTTCGGGCACACATCAAAGGGTCAAGATCATCGATCAACGATAATTCCATAGATTACTGACTATTAAAGATGGGTTAATACCGATATTTGTCAGTATTAGTTAATATGAATATATTCGTCAAGTGTTATTATAATATTTAAACTAATATATGAATATTACTGATATCTTAATATAACGGTTATAGGTATTACTATTCTATTCATGTAGGTAATAAGTTTATTTTACCAAGCAATCTTATTAGTTTTTATACGAAGGTATGCTCGGTTTATATGCTTTGATAAATATTAATCTTATTAAGTAAATGATAATGCGAGGAATTGGAATAATAATAATAATAATAAAATATTTATTTCGTCAAACATTAATGTTATATTATATGATCAGTGATAAAAAATAAAAATAAAAAACAAACAAAATTTTTATAAAATGTGTATATGAAAAATTAATTTTTTATTCGTGTGTAAAAACATCAATTTTTCACCTTTTCCGACGA